ATTAATTGTCTTTATCAAGTCTTTTGAGTATTTAGAAGACTGAGTTTCCTCTCTGTCAAAGAGTAAAGGCTTTTCCTTTTTGAAGTTTTGAAGATTGGATAAATGACCTATGATTCTATTTTGATCAAGTGTTTTCAACTTTTCTTATATCAAGTATTTTAAAACTTTGATAGTTTCAACACTTTTTAACATCCAATTCTAAAATGAAGCTTTTTTGCTCTTGAACTAACTTTTGGATATTAGGCGTTCCCCCCCTCCCTTTTTTTTAGAGACAGAGTCTCACTTTGTTACCTTGGTAGAGTGCCATGGTGGCACAGCTTACAGCAACCTCCAGCTCTTAGGCTTAGGTATTCTCTTGCCTCAGCCTCTCGAGTAGCTGGGACTACAGGTGCCCTCTACAATGCCTGGCTGTTTTTTTGTTGCAGTTTGGTCAAGGCTGGGTTTGAATCCACCACCCTTGGTATATGGGGCCGACACCCTACTCACTGAGCCACAGGTCAGATATTAGGGCCCCTTGAAGTCCAAGAGATATATATTAGGATTATTTGGCATGCTAAAATCATATTGGAAACATTGTTAAATGAGAAATTGTGTTTACCTTTCTTTGAGTTATATCATTAGGTGTTTCAAGATTATGAGATTCCTAAAACTCTGATGTATCTTTATATGCAGTAAGTTTTCTTTTTTCTCTAAAAGATCTATACAAATTCTACAGTGTCATATCTTCAAGGAAATTTGTGGGAAAGACCCTAAGAAATACTCTAGAATACAGTTTTCTGATAACTTCAGAGATCATACTATTGGACTTGGTAAAATCTTCAGAACTCTAAAATAATGACTAATGGGTTCATGAAAAGTGTTTACTTAGTATCAAAGAGAACATGAATTAATTACATGGTACTAAACTGGTGGAAGACTGAAACGTTTTGATTTTTTTGTATGTGTATGCGTTTTGAGACTGAGTCTCATTTTGTTGCTTTGCTATCCTAGCTCACAGCAATCTCAAACTCTTGGGCTCAAGCTATCCTCTTGTCTCAGCCTCAGAAGTAGCTAGGGCTACAGGTACCTACCATAATGCCCAGCTAATTTTAGAGACAGGGTCTTGCTCTGGCTCAGGCTGTTCTTGAACTAGTGAGCTCAGGCAATCTACTCGCCTCAGCCTCCCAGAGCGCTGGGATTATAGGTGTGAACCACTGCACCCTGCTTGTTTGTGTATTTTGTTTGTTTGTTTGTTTTTTTCCTCGACAGGGTCTTGCTCTGTTGCCCAATCTGGAGGGCAGTAGCATCATCACAGTTAACTGCAATCTCAAACTGCTGGGCCCCAGTAATCCTGCCTCCAGTGATCCTGCCTCAGCCTCATAAAAAGCTGGAACTATAGGCACACACCACCATCCTCGGCTAATTTTTCTATTTTTTTTGTGGAGATGGGATCTAGCTCTTGCTCAGACTGGTCTCGAACTAATGGCCTCAAGCCATCCTCCCAGAGTGCTAGGGTTACAGATGTGAGCCACCACACCTGGCCTTTACTCTTCTTTTAACAATGCTAAGTGGTATTTGTGTCTTTTCTGTTTAATGTGAAACGGAGTTTGAGGAGCTAGACATAGCCTATAGACCTGTGGTCCCCAGTCCCTGGGCTGTAACCTGGTACCAGTCTGTGACCTGTTAGGAGCTCAGCTGTATAACAGGAGATTAGCATTAGATGAGTGAAGCTTCCTCTGTATTTGCAGCAGCTCCCAACAGTTTGAATCATCACTTGAGCTCTGCCTTCTGTCAGATCAACAGCACATTAGATTTTCAAAGGAGCACGAACCCTACTGTAAACTGCACATTGGAGGGAGCTAGGTTGCATGCTTATTATGCAAATCTAATGCCTGATGAACTGAGGTGTAGCTGAGGCAATATGAGCACTGGGACCATCTAGTGGCAGGAAAACGAGCTCAGGGCTCCCACTGATTCTCCATTATGGTAAGTTGTGTAATTAGTTCATATAGAGGGTGCCAATTCTAACTCAATCTATAACAATAACAAAAGATGAATATGGGTGGCGCCTGTGGCTCAAAGGAGTAGGGTGCCTGCCCCATATGCCAGAGGTGGCAGGTTCAAACCCAGGCCTGGCCAAAAACTGCAAAAAAAAAGTCATGTTTGAGCACTCTTGCAATTGCAGAAGGCAAATGTAACTTGAGTATTATTATAATTTTAATAGTTTTTTCCTTTCTTACACTGTGTATACTTTTCTTTGGCACGCTCTCTGTGTGTGTGTCTATATGTAAATATATCACAATGCAATAATAACAGGAATAGAGTGCTCAATAAATATAATGTGCTTGAATGCGAAACCATCTCCCCACCCCACCCTGGTCCATGGAAAACTCTTCCCGAAATGCTCACCGGTTCTAAAAAGGTTGGAGACTGCTGCTCTAAACCTAAAGTTACAATAAGCATGTCCTTATTTAAGGGAAGCCAAAAAGGAATTTCCTTCTGAGTGAACTGTAGGACGGTCCTTGTGGAGGCCTCAGGCCTTTGCCTTTCTGCGGGATCTGCTGAAGCATGTTCGTAACAGCTGTTCATTGGGAAGGGGGGTGGGGCGAGTCAGTCTGCAGGACTGACTTTTCCTTTTGTATAATGTGTTTTAAGGGAGGTGCTCCTGAAATTTTTATTTTTCTTTACAAGTATTCATTTAGTAATTTACCTGGTTTGTTGCCTGTCCACCTCCTTCCCCCACAAGAAAGGAAACTTACTTCGTGTGTGTTCACGAGGAGTACCCTCAGTGCCTAGAATCCGGTGTGGGCACAGTAACCACTCAGTAACTTTTAAAAAAATGTATGAACTGTCAGTCTTCATGGCTAGCTACCTTCTGAGCTCCTTAAGAATTTGGTTTTATTTGGTTTTGCAAGTCCAGCATTTCCTAGCACATAGTGTACATTTACTAAGAATTAGCGTCATGGATTCTTGGAGAAATAGGTCAGTTCTCAGATAGTTTCAACAGGTAGAAATAAAGAAAAGGCCAATTTAACAACCTTTCGTATTTCCACACTGTTTCCCCATTTCATCTTCATTCCTCAGGATCACATAGATGCGATCCGGTAAGAGCTTTGGACCGCCCATGATTGACTAGACACCCTTAAAGTTTAGTGATGGTGGAGTGTAACAGGGTAAGCTCACGGTGTAAAAAGTTTCAGAGTGGAGAAGATACGTGCTAGTGATTTATTTGTGCATGTCCTTAACAGGGCCAGGTGCCAAGAACTGAGAATTTTCCCGGATTGGGCTAAAGGGGAGGAGTAGTGAGTCCGCTAAGGTGGCACTGTGGAGGGTGTATTTTAGAAACCACTGTTGTCATCCAGTTAGAGGCGTGGGGTCAGTGTGGAGCTTTACAGGAGGAGGAGGAGGGAGCCGCGCTCAGTATGCTGTCCACCCCAGGCCTTCAGTGGTGGTCCTAAGGCTCCTTTCAGTCCCAAGGTTGTAAAAAGAAAGGAAGGAAGGAAGGAAGGAAGGAAGGAGAGAAAAAGTCAACCAGTTTTTTATAAAGCATCCCAGCTAACTTTTTGGCGTCTCGCACGCCAGTGACCTCCCTCACCGCCCAAAGCGACCACAGACGGGACTCGCGCGCACGGGGACGCCACAAGGTTTCGTTTTAGAGGCCGCCCTCCCGCCACCTGCGGGGAGCGCGGGCCAGGGAGGCGGGAGTGCGCCGGGCAGAGCCGCCGGGAGGCCGCGGGAGGCGGGGGCCGCGCTCCGCCCGGGCCGCGGCGGCGGGCATGGCCGAGGCGCGACCGGGGCTGGCGGCGGGGGCGGAGCTCAAAGCGCTGCCCCACCACTCGCCGCTGCTGCAGCCGGGCGTGACCGAACTGCGGCGCCGGGCCCGGGAGGCTGGGGTCCCGCTCGCCACGCTGCCGCTCACCGACGCCTTCTTGTTGCGGTTCCTGCGCGCCCGGGATTTCGACCTGGACCTGGCCTGGCGGGTAAGCGTGGGGTCGGGCTGGGTCCTGCGGCTGTGCCCCGACCCTCGGGGAAGTCCACGGTGCAGGCGGGAGCCTGGCGGAGAACGCGCCCACGTGGGCACCGTCCGTAGGTGTGCTGAGCAATCCTGAGCAGGTCCTTCCAGTTCCCTGAGTCGTGAAAACCCAGAAACCCAGAAAGGGCTAGAGCCCTGGGCTGATGGCCTGTTTGATTCCAAGCTCTGGAACTGAGTCTTTCAAGCTTGGAGGAAATGCCTTCCTCTCTCTGGAAGAAGGTCTGTACTGTAAAAGGGTTAACAGCTGGGAAGTTGGAAACTCAGACGTGTCACACGTGAGCAGATAACGCCGGGTAGCGGGGGAAAATGAAGTTCTGAAGCCATGTTATTAACAGCAGTACTGAAGGGTCAGTAAGACAGCCCAGTGTATTTCGAGTGATGGGGGCGAGGGGGTAGCGGGGTCGGGGATGATGGGGCGCTTCTTCTGCGCTTCCTGGTGGTGGGTGAGGGACCAGGTGGTGGAGAGACAGGCATCCTGAAGAGGTGTGCGACTTTGAGTCCTGTCACTTTGAGCTCAGCATCCTTATCTGTTAAATAAGATGAAAACACCTGCCTGGTTGACTGGTTGGGAAGATTGAACATTAACCAATTTAACAGAACACGCAGTGCCCAGCGCAGCGCCTGGCACATAGGACGCTCTGAGCAGTTGGATCGGAGCGAGCCCTTCCTCCGAGTGGCTTCCTCAATGCCACGCTGCAAGTTGGGTGGCGGGGAAGATGTTCACTAGTTCAGAATCCCAATGTGTTTCAGTGTGAGGTTTTGGGGGATATTTTTTAAACTAATTTTTCTTGAAAAAGTAAAGAGTTGTGGTAATAATCTAGGTAACCCAAAATAGTAAAAAATGCAAAACAAGTTTCTGAAAGTAATATTCTGAAGGGAAAAAGTTCTCCACTCCAAACCTTACCTTGGCCGTCATGTACCCAGAGGCCACTTACTGTAACCTGCTTGTTGTTTGTAAGTGTCTAAGTTTCTGACGGTAACTTTCTGACGGGAACAAAAAAGTTCCCCAGTTCAAACTTTAGTTTGACAGTCGTGTACCCAGAGGTCACTTACTGCAAGCTGCTTCTTGTTTGTGTCTGTTTGTAAATTTCTAAAAGCAATTTTTTATAGGAAAAAAGTTCCCCACTTAAGGCTCGGTGCCCACAGCTCATTGGTTAGGCCTCTGGCCACATACACCGGCTAGACAACAACTGCAGGACATAATACCCAGGTGTTGTGGCCAGCGCCTGTAGTCCCAGGTACTTGGAGGCTGAGGCAAGAGAATGCCTTAAGCCCAAGAGTTTGAGGTTGCTGTCAGCTGTGATGCCACAGCACTCTACGGAGGGTGACATAGTGAGACTCTGTCTCAAAAAAAAGTATTTCCCACTTCAAACCTTACTTTGGCAGTCATGTAGTCAGAGACCACTTACTGTAACCTGTGTCTTGTTTATTTTTCCAGACATAGACTGCTCTCTGCAAGCCTGTATGTGTATACTTTCCATTTTGTTTTCTTGCCTGTCTTAGCCCAGGGACCATCCCATATCAGCTTGTATACTTGTTATTCCATTGTTTGAATATATGACACTGTATTGAAGTTGATCCAGCCAGTCCCCTGTCGTTGGACATAAGACTCATTGCTAGCTGATGCCAGTGCTGCCTTGCGTGCTGATCATTCCTTTGTGTAATGATGATTTACTTTACCATTTGCCTAGTAGTACAGTACACGAGATGAGGTAAACTGGGTGGCTGTGGTTTCTTCCATCACGAATTGGCCTTCTAGTATGTCTTTATTTTTTGTGCATAAATAGGGGCATGTCCTTACAGGATAAATTCAACCTGTGAAATTACTGGATGAAGTGAGATATGTATTTTTCAGGGTTGAGGAATATAAAAAAACTGTCTCCAAAGAGTTTGCACTAGTGTTATCACTCAGTTACGTAATGCTGCCTTTCTCTCCATATTATCACCTACAACTATTAGAATCAAACTTGACCGCAAACTTGCTAGGTGAGAAATGGTTTTTCATTGCTATTACAATATGCATTTTTTAGTTATAAGGGAGATTAATCATCTTTGATATATTTTAAAATTTTAAAATTCTTTTTCATTTAACTGGAAATGGGCTGTTTATGCCATTTATTCCTTTTTATGTTTTATGGACTGTAAAAGATGTTTTTAAAAAATATCTTTATGTATAAAAGAAAAAGGTCTTTGTTCCAGCTTGTTTACATCTTGGAACATTACTTCTACTACAGTAGAACTTCTGCAGTTGACCACTTCCCTACATTGACTACCTCCCTAAGGTGACCTGATTGTCATAGACGGGACATGCACCACAGGTACATATCAGTACAGTAGGCCTAGCTCCTTATGTTGACTCCTTCCGTATGGCAACCAATTGTTACAGTCCCTTGGGTGGTCAACTTACAGAGGTTCTACTGTATGTTCTTTCAGTGAAGAATTTAAGTTGTATTTATTTTTTTTTTCAGACAGAGTCTTATTCTGTCACCCAAGTGTAGTGGTGTCATTGGCTTGGTGCAACCTTGAACTCCTGGGCTTATGAGATTCTCTTACCTCCACCTCCAGAGTAGCTAGGACTACAGTGCACAGTATCCCATCCAGCTAATTTTTTTCTATTTCTCGTAGAGAGTCTCCTTCAGGCTGGTCTCAAACTCTTTAGTGATCCTCCTGCTCTGACCTCCCAGTGCTAGAATTATAGGCGTGAGCCACCATGCTGGCCTAAAAATTTTTATGTACTCAAATGTATTGATCTGATTGTTTTTTTGATTAGTTCTGGGTTTTATAAGCTCTTCTCTTATCCAAAATTTTTTTCTAATAATATAAGTTTCTCTTCGTTATCTTGGAGTCATTTGTCTATCAGGATTTACTTTGTTGTTAGGAGTGAAATAGGGATCTAGCTTCTTTCATTTTAATTATGTCAGATGGCTATATAAATGTTCTAGCATCATGAGTAATAAATTAATATGTACTCAGCAGCTTAATTGAGGCACAGTCTGAGGTCCTACAAAGAATACAGTTTAAATAAGGCATTAAATATATATGTATAGAGATAACTAATATTAAAAAGTGTATCACTTACTGATGTCTAAATAGAAAAAGAAATAAAATTTATATCCAGCCTCTGTGATTATATATTCTTATTCCTTATTTTATTGAATTGTTTTCATTCTACCAGTCCCTTGAGGAATTGGCTAGCAGGACTGTGTCTAAATCCACTGGACAGAAGTCAAGTTTCTTTCTGTCTGTGAACTCTTTGCCTTATGTTTCTGCCAACTGGGAAGGAAAGGGAAAGGGTAAGAGTGTGAAACTATTTTTTCATTTTCCTCTGCAAAGGCAGTTAATTTAACTCGAACTCTTATTTATAATATAAAAGCCCTATAGTTTTTGTATAAAAAAAATCTTGATAAATACCTCAGTTATGATGAATGTCTCAGTATTCTAGTTTTATATTTGAAGTTAAAATGGATTAATAAGGTTTTAGAATCCTAATAACTAATATACTTATGTAATGCCAGGTACTTTGGTAGGCAATATTTGCATGGATTCTCTTATTTTCTCATTTTAAAAGAAATTGAAATATAAGGAATAAGTAATTTGTTCAAAATTATGTAGCTGTTAAGTGGTGGAGCAGAGATTTGAGCTCAGGTGGAGCTCAGGAGAGCCTGTGGTCATAAGGACATTGTAGTTGCCATTTCAACTTAAAACAATGATTTGAAACAAGGACATAAAAACAACTAATCGTTAACTTCTCTGTTCTACAGATTCTTAGGCCACAAGGGAATAGCCCCTTGCCTTATTTTTTTGTTACATGTGATAAGCTTTTTGCCCTTTGACTGCCTTTATAGTTTTTCTAAAGACTTCGAAGCTTCCAAAATTCCATAGACTTTCCGGGCTAATTTCCCTCTAAATGTAGTTTCTTTCATTCTTTCTTTATTTCTTCTTCTTTTTTTTGCAAAATATATCATTTTAAGCCTCGGTTTCAGGTTCCATTCTGCTCCTGATAGTTTTTGCCCTTGAACAAATCTGAAATTTCTCAGAGCTTTATTTTCCTTGTGTCTTTAATGCCATAACAATAGTAATGCCTCTCAGAGTGGGTGTGAAGAGGATTGAAATGATACTGGTAAACCTTACATAGGTGGCACAAATATGATGGCTGTCATTTTGTTTGAAAGGACATGAAAAATATAGGCAGAAACTCCCTAAAACAGGAGGAAGAGAAATTCATCTTATAGACTAGAAAGAATATTTAGTTTTATGCTATAGTGTTTTATGAGGAAACTACTAAAGTAAATAATAAGATTGTAAAATACTATTAATAGTTATTCTGTTGCCCCCTAGGACAGGAGGAGGAAGAGAAATTCATCTTATAGACTAGAATGAATATCCCAGAATCCACAATGTGTCTGTTGTTCTTACTGCTTTTGGAAACTGCTATTTAGGTCACCAATTATTGCTTTGTTGGCAAATTGACATTTTTTCATTCTTACCTCTTTACTACATTTAACTCTTAGTGATATTCTCCCTTTTTTTTAAGTTAAGAAAAGTTTATTGAATCCAGAAGTGAAAAAGAGAGAGACACCAAGAGAAAGAGGGAGACAAAATCAGAAAGAGGAAGAGAGAGAGGGAAAGGGATAGGGAGAGGGAGCAGAACTACACAGATGACACTGTTCTCCCTTCTGGAAGCCACAGTGCTGGGTCTGTGACAGTTCATCCAATTTCTTCTTCCCCCAGCCATTCCCAGTCATTTACATTTTCCAGGGATCAGAATTTTACCCTGTCCTTTTTTTTTTAATTGTTTCTATAATATTTTCCTCCAGGTCATTGCTATTTGTGTGTTTACAGTTGCCATGTTCATTCCAATGATTCTCAAATATAAAATCTGTCTTTTTTTTTTTTTTTTTTGCAGTTTTTGGCTGGGGCTGGGTTTCAACCTGCTACTTCTGGCTTATGGGGCCGGCACCCCACTCTTTTGAGCCACAGGTGCTGGCCCTATCCTTTTCTTTTATCTGAACTGTGGTCCCACATTTCTAAGAAATTTCTTTAAACTCATAACATATTATTTGTTCAGAAAAACTGAGAAGGCTAAAAATCATAAAGAGGAAAGTTAGAATAAAATATTTTAAATGGGGAGGCGCCTATGGCTCAAAAGGGTGGGGCGCCAGCCCCATATGCTGGAGGTCGTGGGTTCAAACCCAGCCCAGGCCAAAAACTGCAAAAAAAAAAAAAATTTTTTTTAAATGAAGAATTTTCTTTATTCTTTTTTGCAGTATGCTGGCAATATTTGTATTTTTGTGTTTCTATTGATTGGCCATTTCTGGCAGTGCTTTTGGAAAAAAATAGATTACTTCAAACCATTTTTTTGCCAAAATATAACATCCAGGTGTGCTGTTCCTTAGGCTCTTGTAGTTCATTTGAATGATTTCTATTCTCCTTTATTTCAAAAAGACGGTAGGTGGTATTTTATTTATTACTGAGGGACAAATCGGTCTGAGAATTATTGGCTTAAAACACAACAATTTATTTGTTTGTGTATCTCCAGTTTTAGGCAGGGATTGGTGGGCTGGTTCTTCTCTGTTCCACACGGCATCAGATGGAAATTTCACTAATGTCAGACTACCCAGGATGGTCTGTCAGCCTGTAAGGCCTCTCTTCACACGAATTGTTATTTATCTACCAGCAGGGGAGGAATCCTTGGTGGCTGTTTTTGGAGACAATCTACAATAGGTGGTGAATGAAAATTACTCAAATTTGAATTTGTGATTAATCCTTATCACCTCAGATCCATGATCAAGAGAACTTTTGGTTTTTACAGCTAAAAAGATATACCAGATAAAACTCTTGGCCTAGTGGATGCAAGGTTCATACACAATGCCAAGGGTTTGTTCTTTATTCTTTCTTATTATTTGCAGTATGCTGGCAATATTTGGCAATAATAGTAATAATAATAAAATAATACAGAAAAAAGAACAAAGCGTTGGCATTGTGTATGAACCTTGCATCTACTATGCATTTGTAAGCACTGTTCTCACAAATGCTTACCATGTATGCTATTTGTAGACCGTTTTAATTTTATTTTTCAGTTACTAAAAAACTATTATAAGTGGAGGGCAGAATGTCCGGAAGTAAGTGCGGATCTACACCCTCGAAGTATTCTGGGCCTTCTAAAGGCCGGCTACCATGGAGTCCTGAGAGCCCGGGATCCCACTGGCAGCAAGGTTCTTATTTACAGAATTGGTGAGTCGGACACGACTCTTCTTTTTCTCCTCCTGCCCCTTCTCTTTCCTTCCTCTTCCTGCTGATTTCCTTCTTTTCCTCTCCTCCTCCGCCTCTCCTTCTGTTTTTCCTTGAATTCCATATAGAAAATTACAGTGAGTCCATCTTTAAGAATTTAGGTTTAATTTGGGTTTTACTATCATCCAAATATAATAAAAACTTTGGCAGTTGTGATAAAATTAAATGGTACCTGTGAAAATCTTACTTCCTTTCTTTCAATTGACACAGTCAATTGTATAAAATAAGAGAACAGGAAAAAGAGATGAGAAATATTGGGGGAAGGTAAAGAAGATAAAGGAAAAGTGTTTCAAAAATGCTTAGTAGGAAATACAAGTTAAAGAATTCTGAGCTGTAATGATGTAAGCTCCGAGAGATCATGGATTTTGTCTGCTCTGTTCACTGATGTCTCCGAAGCACTGAAAACAGGGCCTGGTGTGTGGTAGGTCCTCATTAGAAATGTGTGGCATGAGTGAGTGAATGACCAGTCAGTTATGCCCCAGGTGGGGAGCAAGGGGCTTATTCCCCCAGGGAAAGGAGGGTGCTGTGGAAGGCAGGCCCCTGGGAGTTGTTACAGACACTGTGTTCCATTAGCTTCTCTTTCTGTTCACTGCATCCCCTTTTCACTGTTAAAAGCCCCTGGTGTTTCTTGTAAGTTGATGTCTTAGTCCATTCAGGTTACCATAACAAAAGCCCATGAATTGGGTGGCTTATAAAAACAGATTTTTATTTTTCAGATTTTTATTGTTCTGTAGTCTGGGAAGTCCAAGAGCAAGGTACTGGCAGATTTGGTGTCTGTTATCTGGTAGAGCCCGTCACCTGGTTTGTAGATGACACCTTTTCACTCTAACCTCACATGTTGGAAGGGCCAGACGGGTCTCTCAGGTTTCTTTTATCAGGGCACTAATTCCATTCGTGAGGGCTCCACTCTTGTGATCTATAATCATTTCCCAAAGATACCACCTCTTAACACCATTATCTTGGGAGTTAGAATTTGAGCATATGAATTTGGAGAGACATAGACATTCATACCATAACAGTCAGTGACTTCCCTTTTATCCTTCCTTAGACCTGTGTCTGGTTAAAAATGGCAGATGAAAGAAAAAGACTCATCTTGTTCCCAGCACCTCTCTTGGCCTAGTTGAAAGGGTCAAGATAACCAACAATTCAGCAGCAGAACCTTATGAATTATAGCTTTACAGAATTTTCTACATTTTTTAACATTAAAATACTTATATGTTTATACCTCTCACCTGTTTACAACTAAGTTATCTGACTATAACTCAATTACTTGCTATCTTATAAGAAGATATTATATTTAATTTTTAAAAGAATATCAGAAGATTGAATAAAATGACTCAAAATTTTTTGTCCTCCCTATGTGTCCAGTATAATTGGGTTAATCATAAAGTTTTCATCTTATAAACAGACACCATAATGTCCTTTCTGTTCTTTTATTGCTCCACCAGTATCAGAGGAACTCAAATGAGCTCTTGACAATGAAATTCTTTGATCTCCTTGGGTGTAGGCATGCAATATTTAGCAAAGTACTTACATTTTATTTAGTAAATAACCTATGTTATAAAAGTGTAGGGTTCCCAGTAACAATTGAATCGCAGATAAGCAAATAATTTGTTCAGTATGTATGAGGCATATCTATGTTAAAAAATTATATCCTCATACCCGAAATTCATCTTTCACTGGGTGTTCTATATATTATCTGGCAACTCTACTCAGGAGTCTGAGAAACATAAAACTGAGAAGTGCAGCTGATTCTTTCTGCAAGCCTTTGCTCTACAGTACTTGGCTAGATTTCTTTTCCTTATTTTTTTTTTTTTTAGTTTGTTTATAAAGTAATTGGGGCAGGTGAACATTTAAAAATGACACCTTAACAGTGAGAAAGCAGATATGCTGCTTTGACTATAAATTCCTGAACACTAATCCAGCCTGCCTGGTATCTAGCCTGGATCTTTTGTAGTCTATTAATTTATAAGTACATTGCTTGACTCAAAGAGATTTGAAAATCAAGGCAACATGTTGGGTGGCACCTGTGGCTCAGTGAGTAGGGCACTGGCCCCATATTCTGAGGGTGGTGGGTTCAAACCTGGTCAAACTGCAATAATAATAAAAAAAAATAGCCGGGCATTGTGATGGGTACCTGTAGTCCAAGCTGCTTGGGAGGCTGAGGCAAGAGAATCACCTAAACCCAAAAGCTGGAGGTTGCTGTGAGCTGTGATGCCCCAGCACTCTACTGAGGAAGACAAAGTGAGACTCTGTCTCTAAAAAGAAAGAAAGAAAGAAAGAAAGAAAGAAAGAAAGAAAGAAAGAAAGAAGACCTGTAATTTATTGACAGTCAGAACAAGAAGGTATGTAGCATACCTTCTGTGTATTATGTTATTCTAGGATGAAAAGGAGAAACTAAGAAGAATTTTTTTTTTTTTTTTTGAGACAAGGTTGCATTCTATTGCCCAGGCTAGAGTGCAGTGGGGTCACTGTATAGCTCACTGCAACCTCACACTTCCTGGCTCAAGAGATTCTCCTGCCTTAGCCTCCTAAGTAGCTGCCATCCCACCTGGCTTATTTTTCTATTTTTTTTTGTAGGGATGGGGTCTCAAGCAATCCTCCCAAAGTGGGAGGATTTTGAGCATGACTGTGCCCAGCTTCTCAAAAGAATTTTATGTATAAAATGAAATGATAAGATAAAGATTTATAAATTCTCAAAATTTCACTGAAGTAGTGGGAGGCACTAATAAGGAAACCCGTGGGAGAGCTTTTTGGTAGAACCACAGTATAACCAGCTTTCCTTGATACCATCTCTCTGCAGTAAAAGCAATGATGGAATCTTCAGAGCTCATTCCTCCATGCCAGCTGGGCAACCCAAAGTGAAGCTCCATTTTAGCCCCTTTTAGCCTGCATGCCAGAGGATATAATGTTATATCTTTTGAGACTCTGTATTATACTATAGCAGCAAATATAAAATTTAAAGTGAGTATTAAGATCTGATTATAGTTTAGTTCTTATGAATACAGGTTCTGGGGCATATGGGCTGAGTTGGAATCTCAACTCTTCTAGATACTAGCTGTGTCAAAAACTCTGTAGCTGTAACTTCCATTTTCTCTTCTATAAAGTGGGCATAGTAAAAACCTGTTGCATAGGGTTGCCCTGAGCATTAAATCTATGTATCATCTACCTACCTATTTATCTAAAATATAACAGTATTACCTGGTATATAATAAGTACTCAATAAATGTTAGGTGCAGGCAGTCCCCAGGTTATGAACGAGATGTGTTCTCTAGGTTTGCTCTTATGTTGAATTTATATGTAAGTTGGAACAGTACATTCACCTATTACCTGTAATAGCCTCCATTTGTAAGTGCGAGTTTTATGTAAGTGGGATGTTTGTAACTCAGAGACTGCCTGCATGTGCTAGAGAAGAACTAAAAATTTCAGGGGTTTCTTTTTGTTTTTGTTTTTGTTTTTTTGCCTTACTGGAGCTTAGAGTCTAAAGTCTAGACATCACTATCCAATACCTTCCATGATGATGAAACTGTTCTTACAGCAGCCACCAGCCACATGGGGCTACTAAGAACTGGAAATGTGGGCACTGCAACTAAGAAACTCAATTTTAATTTAAATTTGATTAGCCGAATGGCTCCTGGCTACTGTTGTCTGATCTGCAGACCTCATTTGTTCAGCTCATTTTTTTTTTTTTTTTTTTAGAGGAGCCTCAAGCTGTCGCCCTGGGTAGAGTGCTGTGGCATCACAGCTCACAGCAACCTCCAACTCCTGGGCTTAAGCGAGTCTCCTGCCTCAGCCTCCCAAGTAGGTGGGACCACAGGCGCCCGCCACAATGCCTGGCTGTTTTTTGGTTGCAGCTGTCATTGTTGCTTGGCAGGCTTGGACTGGATTTGAACCCACCAGCTCAGGTGTATGTGGCTGGCGCCTTAGCCACTTGAGCCACAGGCGCTGAGCCTTCAGCTCATATTTCTCCTCATCAGAGCATTCAGCCAAATAATCTCAAGTTAGTAAATTTGAATTGGGTTATCCATGGGTTGATTACTCAACTTCCTGCCAGGAATCTGAGGCTTTTAAAAAGCAAGGGCAACTCACTATTCCTTTCTAGGAATACTACTGATTATCCTCTTTCTAGATTTTCAACTTTTTCCTTACTAGTACTTGCTACAAATAAACATTTCAATCATTTAAGGGTCAACCATCGGAAACAAAACAATAACTCCTCAATCCCACAAAACCCTCCAGCTCCACTCTAGCCATCTCTCCTCTCCCCTTCTCAGCCAGACTGTAAGTGATGTCCCCGCAGTTTCTTCTCAGCCCACCCTGGCCTGGGCTCACTTCCACCTTGCTGAAATCACTTTAATTTAATCGTCAGTGACTCTTTTAGTCCTATTTTGCTTAAACTAGTCCTATTTATTTAGTCCTATTTTAGTCAGTGACGTGTTTAGTCCTATTTTGCTTAAACTCTTACTACAGTGAACCACCTCCTCTTTCTGGAACTGTCCTTTTCCCTTGGCCTCTCTGATGCCCCATTCTCCTGGTGTTTTCCTTTGACTTAATTGGCTGCTTCATCACATCATCCACTCACATTTTAAGTTTTGGAATTCCTTGGGACATTGGCCTCCGCCTTCTCTTCTTATTTTATAAATACTTTCTCTTCTCCACTACACTGGAGAAAAACATAGATCTAAGACAACATCCCTGTCACAGACTGTCCTGCAAGCACAGACCACCCCCAGATCTCTATCCCCATTTTCTCTTTGGATCCGGATCCATGTGACTAGCTCCTGTTCCAGCTGCATTCTCCTCGATGTCTCAATAGTCACAATTTTTACATGTCCAAACTTATGAGTTCAGATAATTAAGTTTGTGAACTCATCTTAGAAAATGTGCCACATACCTCATTGCTGAATAGTACTACAGTCACCTTCGAAGTACTCCCCTTGGTCAACTGGTGACCATTGTAACAGTTGGCAATGAGGTGTGTAGTACTTCTTCTCAGATGAATTCATGAACTTTTGTCAGACCTCAAATGATGACAGCTCTGATGGCCATTCCAGAAAAAGAGTTCTAAAATTGCTTTGAAGAGTGGACCAGGCACTGAGATTGACACACAGTTTCACAAGGGGTGTCCCAAAAGGTGACCCTAATCATATTCAGCAATGAGAAATTTTTTCAGGAATGAGCATTTTTTTTAGGATGAATTTGTGAACTTAATTGTCCAACCTTACATGATCTTTTCCACCCAAATACTTCTCATATCTTAGTGAGTGGTACCACCATTCTATCCATGTCAGAAAGTTTCTTTTAATTTTTATTTTGCCAACACTTAATTCTGAATCCTTTTTTTCTTTTTCATGCATCCTGTTAGGCATTTCATGGACTTCTCAGTCTGAAGACTTAGAGAGCCTTCCTTTTGAGACCTGCTACTATACAGGGAAATTTTGCTATACTGTTACAATTCCTCTCTTTTGTTCTTGTTCTATTATTGCCTTCTAGAACTCTCAGAGGTACAAACTTCTGGATTTCGCTACATGTGTTTCTCTCTCTCTCTCTCTTTTCTCTCTCTCTCTCTCTCTTTTTTTTTTTTTTTTTTTTTTGAGCCTGTTGCCCAGGCTGGTGCTGTGGCATCAGCCTATCTCACAACAACCTCAAATTCCTGGGCTCAAATGAATGTTCTGCCTCACCCTCCTGAGCAGCTGTGATTATAGGCGCCTGCTACATCTGGCTAGTTTTTCTATTTTTAGTAGAGATGGAGTCTTGCTCTTTCTTGCTCAGGCTGGCTATGAACTCTTAAGCTCAAGGGATCCTCCTGGCTGGGCCTCCCAGAGTGCTTGGATTACAGGTATGAGCCGCCTCACCTGGCCTTGTATATATATGTCTCTCAACTCTTCATTCGTATTTATCAACTCAGAAAATTTGTCAAACTTATTGGCTGTGTCTTTTCCATCATTTGTCCCATCACCTGAGTTTCTTTTTAATCTTTTTATTCCTGAAATCTTAACTGATTCTTTTAAATAGCCTGTTCTTATAATAATAACCTACACTATCATTTTTCTCCCTGCTGAAACCATTATGTTTCTTTATAATTGGTTTGTTTGTTTGTTTTAGAGATGAGAGTTGATGAGAGTGTGGGGCGGGAGGGCTCTCATTATGTTGCCTAGGCTGTACTCAAACTCCTGGGCTTGAACAATCCTCCCACCCAAGTTGCTGGGATTACAGGTGTACACACCACTGAGCCCAGCTTATGTTATTGTTTTGATGTCTTTTGCTGTTGCAATTGCTTTGTTGAGTTTTGATGCCTTTGTTGAGTTCGGTTCCTCTGTTCTTTGTGTCTGTGTGCATGCACATGATTTGAGTGTGTTTATACATGTATATGAGTGTGTTTAATATTCTAATTTTTAATTAAGGGTTTTTAAAGATCACCTACATAACCTTCTCACTTATCCATTACTATTATTTCTGCATGCCCTGGCTTGTCCCAAGAATACAGGGGAGGAGTGAGATGTGTGGACTATATTGTCAGCAATTCCTTTCTTTCACAGGTACTCCTTGTTTTCCCTGGGTGTGGGCAGCTTCTTAGATCCTTACCTGGTTCTTCTTTCCCAAGCCCACATTTATGGTTCTTAGCCAGTAGGGACATGACTCTGCTATGTGCTTCTTATCACGAGGGCTGTCAAGAGGACCAACCTGTCTGTCAGCTCCTCATGGATTTCCCTTAGCCATGGATTTGGTTACCACAGGGACCTAATTGCTTTTGCTAATCCAGGTCCTTGCTTTTCTCCTTTCCAACATCTCTGAGTTTGGAGCATACCCAGTGGCATTCTCATCTTTAGCCATAGCCCTCTCCTAAATGTGAAATTGTGATTTCATTCTGCAGTCAAATCCAGCCTTCATCCATTCTTGTTTCCACTGTATTCCAAAAATCTGTTCTCTGCTAGGGATTTGAGGAGGAAGGGAAAAGCAGGTCCATATTCTTGGATCTCAGTTTGATCTATTATTCAATTCATGTTCTTTGTACATGTTTTTATTTCTACTGAACTTTAAGTCTAAAACAAATTCATTTCCTTTTTAAATCTTTCTGAATCTTTATGCAATGCTGAGATATTATATGTTTTATTTTTTAGCACACTGGAACCCAAAAGTTTTTACAGCTTATGATGTATTTCGTGTAAGTCTAATCACATCCGAGCTTATTGTACAGGAAGTAGAAACTCAACGGAATGGAATCAAGGCTATCTTTGATCTGGAAGGTTGGCAGTTTTCTCATGCTTTTCAAATTACTCCATCTGTAGCCAAGAAGATTGCTGCAGTACTTACAGTAAGTGTATATTTTAACTGTTAGGTTAAATATACTTCCAAATAGTTTTAAATTTTGTTATAATCTAGACAAAGAGAAGTGATAGTACATTTATTAGAAAAATAAATACAGTTTTAGAAATGACACATAAAACACAACACAATAGTGCTTTTATTAATTTATAAGTGAAAAATGCTGCAGCATACGATAAAAATATATTCAAAATTAATCACAAAATTTAAGCATTTTAGCAACATGTAGTAATGTAATCCTTTTTCAGAAAATTAAATATTGACTCAAAAATATAGCAATAATACAATAAAATGTCACATAAATCTTGGGAAGTATATAATGATTTTTTGCTTTTTTTCAGAGATCAAAAGGTTTTTTAAATGGTCATCAACTTTAATCCAGTATTTCTACCTCTGAGAACGTAGCTAAGAAATAATCTTAAACATAGTAAAGACTTTGTATATAATAGTAGCTGACCATGTGCCAAGTATTTTGCAAAGAATTTCAAATGTGTGACCTCTTAGTGTCCACACTGACCTATGACACATAACTGTTGTTTTCTCATTTTAAAATTAATAAACTGTGCCTAAGAAGTGACATAGCAAAGTCCAAACACATAGTTTGTCAGCAGTGAAGTGAGGATTCCAGTATAGGTTGTTTGAATGTACAAGTTATGCATATACCAACGCTCCCAAACATAAAATATAGGAGAAGCATCACTTTTAGTAAAAGAAAATTAGGAACAAGTTATTTGTCTAGAAATAGGGAAATGGTTACTTAAATTATGGTACATTGATAATACATGGATAAAACTGTAACAATATTAAAACATGATGTTTATAAAAACTCTTACATCACTGGAATTAAACAGGAAGCAAATTATTTAGAAAGCATATTTGTAATTATGTTTAAAATAAAATTATGCAGAAGGGACCTGGAAGGGATGGGGAGGAGCAAGATGGCGGCTGAGTAACAGCTTCTTTGCAACTGGACAGGTGAGGCTGAGAGAGAAGACTCCAGGCATCTCTGGCTGGTGGGATCTGCCCAGAAACATCCCTTTGGGGACACAGGGAATCAGCAAGAGACTTCTGGACTCCATGAGGAGGACAAAAGCAGTGGAGAACTGTCAAGTGGTTGTGTGTGTTTGCTCGGTCTAATCCTGCTGGCAGCTGACTCATTGAAACCCTAGTCCAGAGACATGGTAACTTAAAGAGCAAGAGGAAGTGAAAGGGAAATTAATGCAAGGAAACAGATAAAAGAAAACATTCATGAGGAAGAATCAGCAGAAAAATCCTGGCAACATGAAAAACCAGTTAGAGTAACCCCCCTCCAAGGGACCATGAGGTAGCTACTGCAGAGGATTCTACCTATAAAGAAATGTTAGAAATGACAGAAAGGGAATCTAGAATACAAATGATGAAGGAAATAGTTAAGGAAACTCCTGATAAAGTGGAAAATAACCAAAAGGAAATCCAAAAACAGAATCAAATAAGAGATGAACGACATGAAGAATATAGAAAGGATATAGCAGAGCTGAAGGAACTGAAGCAGTCAATTAGGGAACTTAAAGATGCAATAGAAAGTATCAATAACAGATTAGACAATGCAGAAGAAGGAATCTCAGAGGTAGAGGACAAAGCTCTTGAGATATCTCAGATAGTTAAATAGGCAGAAAAGAAGAGAGAGAAAGCAGAACGTTCACTGACAGAATTATAGGACTTTATGAAGTGTTCAAACATACAAGTTATAGGTAACCCAGAAGGGGAAGAAGAATGCCCCAGGGGAATGGAAGCCATACTTGAGAATATTATAAATGAAACTTCCCAAATATCACCAGATTCTGACAGACTCCTTTCAGAGGGATATTGGATCCCAGGTTGCCTCAACTCTAACTTAGCTTCTCCAAGACACATTGTGATGAACCTGTCCAAAGTCGACAAAAGAAAAGATTCTTCAAGCTGCCAGGAGTAAGCACCAGTTGACCTACAGAGGCAACTGCAGGGTAACTGCAGACTTCTCTAAAGAAACTTTTCAAACAAGACAATGGACACATTGTGATGAACCTGTCCAAAGTCAAGATAAAAGAAAAGATTCTTCAAGCTGCCAGTTGAACTATAGAGGCAATTGCAGGGTAACTGCAGACTTCTCTAAAGAAACTTTCAAATAAGAAGACAATGGACACATTGTGATGAACCTGTCCAAAGTCAAGAAAAAGAAAAGATTCTTCAAGCTGCCAGGAGTAGGCACCAGTTGAACTACAGGGGCAACTGCAGGGTAACTGCAGACTTCTCTAAAGAAACTTTCAAACAAGAAGACAATGGACACATTGTGATGAACCTGTCCAAAGTCAAGAAAAAAGAAAAGATTCTTCAAGCTGCCAAGAGTAGGCACCAGTTGAACTACAGGGGCAACTGCAGGGTAACTGCAGACTTCTCTAATGAAACTTTTCAAACAAGAAGACAATGGTCATCTACCTTTAATCGACTTAAACAGAACAATTTCCAGCCCAGAATTCTATATCCTGGTAAGCTAAGCTTTAAAATTGACAGAGAAATCAAATAATTTACTGATATACAAACACCGAGGAAATTTGTCACAACAAGACCAGCTCTACAGGAAATACTTCAACCTGTTCTACACACTGACCATCATGATGGATCAACAGTGAAGTAAGAACTCAGAAATTAAAGGACAGAACCTAACTTCCACAATGATGCAAAAGATAAAACAAAGCAATGGACTCTCACAAAATAAGATAAATAGAACACTACCACACTTATCAATTATCTCCATAAATGTTAATGGCTCGAATTCCCCACTGAAGAGACATAGATTGGCTGTCTGGATTAAAAAACACAAGCCATCCATTTGCTGTCTGCAGGAAACATACTTAGCTTCAAAAGACAAATTAAAACTCCACATTAAGGGTTGGAAGACAATTTTTCAGGCAAATGGAATTCAGAGGAAAAGAGGAGTTGCAATCTTATTTTCAGATACATGTGAATTTAAAGGAACTAAATTAAAAAAAGGCAAAGATGGTCACTTTACATTGGCCAAGGGAAAAATACAACAAGAAGATGTTTCAATTCTAAATATTTGTGCACCCAACTTAAATGCTCCCAGATTCTTGAAAGAGACTTTACTCAGTCTGAGCAATTGATATCCTATAACACCATAATAATAGGGGACTTTAACACTCCTCTTACAAAGCTGGACAGATCCTCTAAACAGAAATTAAACAAAGATATAAGGGACTTAAATGAGACCCTACAACAACTGTGCTTGATAGATGCATATAGAACACTCCATCCCAAAGATAAAGAATGTACATTCTTCTCATTACCCCATGCAACGTTCTCCAAAATTGATCATATCCTAGAACACAAAGCAAACCTCTATAGAACCAAAAGAATTGAAATTTTGCCTTGTATCTTCTCAGACCACAAGGCACTAAAGGTGGAACTCAACTCCAACAAAAACATTCAATCCCACACAAAGACATGGAAATTAAACAACCTTCTGTTGAATGCAGGAACAGTTGGGTGCAGGAATAAATAAAAGAGGAAATCATTAATTTCCTTGAGCAGAACAACAATGAAAACACAAGCTACCAAAACCTGTGGGATACGCAAAAGCAGTTCTGAAAGGAAAATTTATCACTTTAGATGCTTACATTTGAAAAACAGAAAGAGAGTGCATCAACAAACTCACAAACCATCTTATGGAATTGGGAAAAGAAGAACAATCTAAGCCTAAACCCAGCAGAAGAAAAGAAATATCCAAAATTAAATCAGAGATCAATGAAATTGAAAACAAAAGAACCATTCAGAAAATTAATGAAACAAGCAGTTGGTTTTTTAAAAAAATAAGTAAAATACATAAGTCTTTGGCCAGACTAACTAGAAATAGAAAAGTAAAATCTCTAGTAACCTCAACCAGAAATGATAAAGGGGAAATAACAACTGATGCCACAGAGATACAAGAGATTATCTCTGAATACTACAAGAAACTCTATGCCCAGAAATTTGACAATGTGAAGGAAATGGATTAATATTTGGAATCACACCCTCTCCCTAGACTTAACCAGGAAGAAATAGAGCTCCTGAGCAGACCAATTTCAAGCACTGATATCAAAGAAACAATAAAAAATCTTCCAACAAAAAAATGCCCTCATCCAGATGGCTTCACACCAGAATTCTATCAAACCTTCAAAGAAGAGCTTATTCCCATACTGCAGAAATTATTACAAAAAACTGAGAAGGAAGAATCTTCCTCAACATGTTCTACAAAGCAAACATCACCCTGATACCAAAACCAGGCAACTAAAAAGGAGAATTTCAGACCAATTTCACTAATGAATGTAGATGCAAAAATTCTCAACAAAATCCTAGTCAATAGATTATAGCTTATCATCAAAAAACTCATACATCATGATCAAGTAGGCTTTATCCCAGGGATGCAAGGCTGGCTTAACATATGCAAGTCCATAAACGTTATCCACTGTATTAACAGAAGCAAAAACTAGGACCATATAATCCTGTCAATAGATGCAGAAAAAGCATTTGATAAAATCCAGCATCCTTTTCTAATTAGAACACTGAAGGGTATAGGCATACGTGGCACATTTCTTAAACTAATCAAAGTTATCTATGACAAACCCACAGCTAATATTTTACTGAATGGAGTAAAACTGAAAGCTTTTCC